ATACGAGTATTGTTGCACCCCTAATATTTTGGGATTGTGACACCTCTTCCTTCAAAAACTGGGGGAGTTAATTGATAGAAAACTCTCGGCCATCTCTGACAAACTGTGGGATTTTCAGATGAGCTCATGCGCTCATAGTGTTGGGGAATATGGCATTAACACAAGTTTACCCAGCCAACTTTTCAGATTTATTTTCCTGGATGATTGAGAATGCATCAAGACGTTTTAAACAAAAAATATAGTTTTAACAGTCCCATAGTTATTTGATCATCTGTGCAACACTTCATCAGTTAAAGGTACTTTTTGTATTTACAAGCAAAACTAAACTAAAACTTTCGCCACTAGAGGGCAGAGTTTTCCCTTGAGTGTTTTACTGTAGTTGTGCAAAGTTATCCATTGCTGTGTGTGCTCTCTGGCTGGTGTATCCTTTCTTGTCATGCTGGGATGAGGACAGTTTCACTGTGTTTGCACAGATGTGGAGAACAGCTGCCTGAACAAACACATTTATTTGCTTTGTGCTACAGTTAGTCATAGCGAGTTGTCACAATCTGGCCAATAGCCAGTAATAAAGAGGAAAGACAATTTAGGTAGACCACTTTATGTCACTAAAAGATTAAAAAATGGGTTTTAGTGCTTCCATTGTAACAGTATATTACATGGTTACATTCCTAAAGCTTAAAACAAAGACTAACAGGCAACAGTATCCTCTGAATAATGAAGCATCTCGTGATCGTCAACAAAAACACACTTTCAGTTTGTATCCTCAGTTTTCTTCTTCTGTAGTTCTTTTCAGAGTCAATCTTCCACTTGGTGAGAGAGAAATACACAGCGCTCGCAGACAGCTGTTCCTCTACCTCGCACGCCCGACACAAGGTGCTGGCAGGGATCGTGATGACCAGAGGTGAGTGTCGGCGCTATGATGGTCAAAAAGTATGACCTAATTCGACCTTGAAGAAGAGGTCAGAGGTCCAAAGTAACGTGATCACATATCATTCCTTACATGCCGATCTGTTATCAGTACAAAAAGTAATAGTAATAAACATTAACGGTAACAAAGCAAACCAGTTAAATCTATTGACCTACAAGAAGAGGTCAGAGGTCAAATACACAGCCCACTTGTAAGAATCTTAGTTTCTAAAAGTTTTACGTTTTGTCCATTTTCAACTAATAAATCTATAAATTGATGTTGTAGAATAGAACAGTTTCCAGGCAGAATTACACACATCAGCTTCCTCCAAACACATGACCTCCTTAGCGTAAAGCGACCCAAAGTATGAAGCATAAAGTGGTGAAATGACCAGTTTTCTAACTGGAGCACAAAGGACTCTTTTTGTAACTGTGCACCTGCAGGAACAATGTGGGTTTTTTTTCCAACAATATCTTT